TTATATATTAATGTAATTATAATTTATATATTAATGTAATTATATTTTACGTTTCAGGTTTAATATGATGCCGGTAAACAGCAGTTCAAAGGTTGTCACTGTGCAGTAAGCAAAGCAGTGAAATGAGGGTTGGACTCAGATGTTTTTTATTGTAAAACACTTTGAGTTACATCTCTTGTCTGAAAAGTGCTCCATAAATAAAGTTATTATTATTATAAAAATGGGAATGTTGAAATAATCTATATGATCAAATATCAGCCTGAGCGTACGAACAACTAACAAGGGGATCAGACTTAGTGAACAGTCAAATTATTTATTTATTTATTTATTTATTTTGTAGCCAGTAAACGCAACACTAACGTATTATCACCTCGTAAAGTTGTGATGGCGAACGTGTTCACACTCAATGAATCTAAGTCCCATAATGCCTTTCCTCCTGGGCTCCTGAGAAAAGCGTCTAACGCTGCGCTACGTTCACCGTCCAGTAACGACCTTCATCTGTCCGAGGGAACAGGAAGAAGCAGGACGTGAAGTCAGACGAGCGACGAGAAGATAAAAACTGAGATCGTTTTCAAGGTCCATCTTTAAATCAACCTGAAGAACGTCACATGATCAATCAGACATTTAATCCAAACACTCAATAAGACCTTCAGAACAAATCCATCATAATATGAGCTAAAGTGGGCCTGTGCAGTGTACTGGAGGTCAGCCATGAGCGGTAATACAGCGGAGGCCTGAGGGGGGGGAGGGGAGGAGAGGGGGGGGCAACACACAAATCTCCACCTCGTCTGTGACGCACCGCGACCACTTAGGGCTCGACATTGGCCAGGAGGAGTGAAAATGACCAATCAGTGATTAGAAATGAAGCCATGTGGAGAATGAGGAAAGGGTGGGGGGGGTGGGGGGGGGCACTGTATTCAGCTAATAAGAAAGAAACCTCAGCCTCCGCCATTTTGACTCTGGGAGAAAGGAGGCCAAGAACAGACAGGAGAGAAATGTGGTGGCATGCATTTAACCAGACCCCCACCCACCCTCACCACCTCAACCCCCCGCACTCACCTCCTGCCAATTACACAAGAGAAGGCCAGACTCCCACCACTGTAAATGTGACACCCCCTCGCTCTTTCAACCACAACACCAACAGCAGCTTCGCCTCAAACGAGTGGAATCAGAGCCGTTTTCCCCACGACGCCACTTTGAAGATGAACCACTTCTTCTTCTTGACAATCAGCGAGGTGTCTGAGACGTGAAGCGCCGAGGAGACCCCGGGAAGAAGAACCTACGTTTTAACATCAGCAAGAAAAAAGAAAGAAAAATCTCTTTTTAATTCAGAATAAAAGAGCAGCAGAGCAGCTTGAGTTTGAGTCATTCATTCAGACAGGTGGAAGATTTGTTTTCACTGATGCAAAAATGCAGATTCACAGTTTGAAAACAGTCTGATCCTCGTGCCTCAGAGCGGGAAAAAGACTCAGTTTTCACCTCTGGATGATATAATAACAACAACATCAACAACTGGCTGCACAGTAACAGTGAGCGGCCAAACACACCACATCTACAAAGCATTTCATAATATACGAATATTACATTCAATTCAAATCAAAAACTGTAGAAATCTTTGTTTCCAGATTTATTATTAATATGATTTAAAAACCTTCTGCACGTTTACATTCTGTTTATGTTCCAATAAAATAAATAAATAAATCACTGAAATTAAATTTGTATTTTCCACAAACTGTCTCATTAAAGTCTCATTTAAAATGACAAAATTAAAAGTTTTCATGAGCAAAAAGAGAAAACTGTCTTTTCTGTGACGATGTGTTTCATGTTTTTTTAAAATAGTTTATCATAAAAAAGAGGGATAATTCCCTCTGTTCATAAAGGAGCAGCAGAGGAAGATAAAGGAGATTATTGTATTTGAAAAATTAAAAATTAATTTGGAAATACATTTTTTTTTTCACTGGACAGTGAAGTTCTACACTTTTTAACTGGAAACTACAGAAATGTTTCCCACACAGCCATATATATATATATATATATATATATATATATATATAAATAAAGTATATAATATAATCTTTAATATAAAATTGAATGTGGTTGTGGTTTCAGCGACGAGTAAATCCTGATTTTTTTTGGTCTTAAATCCCATAAACACATTAAGAGATTTCACACTGACGGGAGGTTTAATGAAAATGGAGTTGAGGCATTTTCAAAGAGTTCAGAGACTTAAATCTGAGTCCTGTGAAAACTGGCGTTCGTCTCCCGTCCACTGATCACCAAATGGAAGTCATATTTCCCTGCAGTGTAACGCTGGTGTCAGACCGCCTGCAGCTAAAAAAACCTCCTCCTGCTCCGACCACGTGACGGTGGGAGTGTGTGGAGGTTCAATTCCCCTTCCAGAACCTCTGCTGCTCAATTCTGCTGCTAGGCTTCATATATATATAAAAAAAAAACTAACTTTTTTTGATTGCGGCAGATACTCGCAGAGGTGCTGGCTGACTGGCTGCACCAGTCTGACACAGTGAGGACTGACAGTCGCCCAGTGGAGAGGAGGCTGAAGGAGCAGCAGAGGTCAGGCCGAGCTGGGAGCGAAGCAGGAGGTAGGAACGCACAGACACTGACTCAAAGCAACTCATTGCTTTCTTTACTAACACTTTTCTATTATTTCTATTTAAAAAACATGATTTTTTTTTTCTACGCAGTCTGGTGCATTGCTGGCAAAATGGAAAATAAAAAACACTGACTTTGAGCATGAAAGAGGTGAAACAAAGGTGGTGTGGTTGCACCTACACTCTGTGCAACAGGCAGTAACATGCATGGGTGATACAATCTCCTAATTCTCCCTAATGCACAAAATGCTGGATGTGCTCCACTTCACAGGCTCTAAATGAGTCCAGGCTGTAGTATAATTGTGTTTTGGCTAATTGGACTGATTGTCTAATTGGCTCTGACGGAATAAAGGGCGTTTACTAAGACAAACAGCCACATCACAATGAAAGCTTCTCCTCAGGCGCTGCTGCTGCTGCTGCAGCTAATGGATCAATTAACAAGCTGAGAGTAAAAAAAAAAAGAAAGTGATGGATGTTAAATAAAAAATGGCGGAGTTGATGTTTGTAAAAGTGGAAGTGAGGCGGAAAAAATGGAGGCAGCAGCAGCTCAATCTCCACTTTTCAGCAGTTGGAGAAAGTCATGGCTGAGCGTCTGTCAGCAGCGCTAACAGACACACACACACGCACACACACACGCATGATGATGACAAACGGTGGCCGTTCATTCGCTCATGTCACCAGCAGACATGTAAGTCACGCTGGCACCTGATTTATTCCCGCGCTGCGGACTCACGCTTCATTTACCGCAAAACCCGCAGAGCGCATATTTCACCTGGGAACACAGCGCGCGGCCTCCACGTCACTCACTCATCCACCACACACACACATACACACGCACGCACGCATACACACAAACACCACTGCATAAATGCTGAATATTTCTCTGAATATTATTTTGAAGGTTTCCCGCTCAGGCCGTGATGCAGCTGCAGAGATCAGAGGGTCAGTTGCAGGAATGAAGGATCCAAAATGAGCCGAGAGCGCGGGAAAACAACCAACTGATATTTATTTTAAACTTATTTTTATCTCTGTAATTGAGACTGTGATGATCCTCTGTTGTTACCTGTAGATCAGATCTTTCTCTCTAAACTTTAAATTCTCCTGTTTTACTGCGCGCAGTGGATCAAAATCAAACCGTAACGACTCAAAGAGAAAAATTAATTTCAATAACTAATCAATAATCGTTAATCTAACGCTGGTTTGGAGCAGTGGTGACAGAGCTATGAACCACACTGACCTCTGTGAGAACACTGCAGCAGTCTGTGTGTTCTCATGACCCGGGGCCTGATGCTGTTCCGGCCTGAGACATGAACAAAGTTTTTCTGACCCTTTTGTAAATAAAAGTTTTAGTGTGACGCTCTGGAGATAAGACACGTCATCACGCACCGTTTAATGTGACCAATCGTCAGATATTTTTTTCTAATTTTTATTAAAACTTTTCTTACTTTTTTTTTTGGGATGAATTCTGCCTGTGTCGGTTCATACAGCTGGGATATATTTCTCTAGTGGTTTTAAGGTAAAGCTTATTAGTGTGTTTTTAATTAAATATTAATGACGGTTGTTTTTAATGTGAGTTTTAGCGTCAGTCAGCTGGGGAGTGTTTGTTTTGGCGCGTCAGGCTGTTTCAGCCTCGTTCCTGAAGTGGTGATCATCATCATTCCCTGAGGAAAATAAAGGTTATTCTTAATCTAAGGTTATCTTATTAAATTTAAATGTTAATTCAGTTATATAGGCTATTGATTATTGATCGCTGTATGTGGGTCCGCGCTGTAGCTGTAGGTGCACTCAGGTGAATGAGAGGCCTCCTGAGGTGCAGTCCAGCCCGCTGACCTGCAGGAATGATCTCGGTGTTACTGGCTGGTCCATGAGGGCGAGCAAGTTTCTATACAAGCCGCCTGGGAGGCTCCTCTCCCCGGCCGCAGCGCCAGGGCCAGCCCGGTGAGAGGAGTGGCGGCGGTGGGGGGGGGGTGGGATCATCTGCCCCTGATTGACACTATCACACATCACTCATGGTGTGTGTGTGTGTGTGTGGTGTGTGTGTGTGTGTGTGTGTGTGTTGTGTGATTCCAAGAAAAATCACCAAAAGTCCACTGAGCCCCCCCCCCCCCCCCCCGCCCCCTCTCTCTCTCTTAACGAGCACTGCACAGGCGCAGACCGCAGCTCGGTGCTGGAGGAGCTGAAAGGCACTAAGGCAGCCGAGCCCACCGACACTTCCCAGCGGACACCCGCCGCTGCTGCTGCCGCCGCTGCAGCCTCCAGAGTCCCGCTCAGGAGTCCCGCTTTAATAAATAAAAAAAAAAAAAAAAAAAAAAAAAAAAAAAAAAAAAGCACACGTGCAGGCGCGGTAGGAAGGAAGGGGGGGACACCCCGCTGTTCACGAGCCGGAGACAGAGCTGCGGTGCGCGGGGATGGATTTAAGCAGATGATAGCTGACTGCGTGAGGTACAGTAGAGAGACGCGGCTGCTGATTAGCTGCTCTGCTAATTGATTATCTGCTGATTATCTGCTTGTTTGTTTGTAAACAGCGCGGCCTGTGTCAGGCGCGTGAGGACAGGAAACGGTGTCATCCTCTGTGAGATTATTAGACCAGGACGGTCTGATGTGGAGGCTTTTATTGTGACAGGAGAGAGACGGTGAGGGGAGAGAGTGAAGGTTCAACACTGAGGCTGTCGCTCTATCTTTAATGTAGCTCACACTGCTTCTTTATTTATTTATCTTAATTATATAACATCATAATCAAACAGACTGATGCAGAAATATGTCTAATTTACAGATGTAATTTACATTTATTGTAATTTTTACTATTACAACCATTTATAATCATAGCATTGTATTATCCACGACTTTTTTTTAACGTATTAATTATAATTATTAAAACAAAAGGCATTACTTTTATTTTATGGCGTAAATATTGGCCTGTACAGCTGTAAGCATGCGCCAGAGTTAACGTGATGAAATTACAGCGAGAATATTTTAAATATGATTTTAAATTTGACCTTTTTCAATATGGAAAATAAGATTTTATCGTGTTCTTGTTTTAAGTCACTGGATATTAATATTTTTTTTAATAAGGAGCAGGATTATAAATCCACCTCTGACTGGTTGTAAAGTGACTGAGGGAGTTTCTGGAGCTGTGAACGTCGCATTTTATTTTGTAAAAAAAAAAGAAAAAGAAAAAAAGTCCGTTTGTTGTTGGATTAAACGCGAGGCCTCAGTTTTAATCTGTTTCATATATTTGATCTTTTTAATCAGATTTTCCTCGAGCTGAATTATTAATGTTTGAGGCTGCTGTGTGTTTGCAGTGAGGTGGAATTAAATGCTGTCAAATCAAGATGCTAGAAAGTGTATTTACGTGTTTATCATGCTGGTCATTTACTTCACTGTTTGATGCTGCAGATATAAAATGGCGGCAGATTGAAACGTGTGACCTGTAGCTGTGTCAGTGAAACGTCCATCTCTCAATAACAACACTCATGTTTTTTTTTTTCTTATCTTATTTTTTTTCGGTTTGCATTTTAAACCGTGTACACCACTTCCTGCAGGCCTCCTCAGAGGATTTGCATAATGTGATCAGTGCAGAGTTTGATGCATGCTGATGGTGGTCGACCATGTGACCTGCACCAGCAACATGGAAAATAACAAAGCAGCTTTTACACTAAATTTGTTGTCAAACATGTGATTGTTGTGTGTTTCCGAGTCTTTTCTCAAATTCATCTTTTGTATTTTTCCACTCTTTCCAGATGTGTATAGGAACATTACAAACACACGCATCACTTCTTCTTCTTTAAGTGCGTGGTAATGTTTTACAAGCAGATTAATTTAAAGCAAACAGTTGGAAGGGTACAAACATCAGGCACAAAACAGCCTCCCTCATCTAAACACAGCCACTCACACCCCTGACACGCTGATGCCAGGACTTTTGTTTTTATTTATTTACTTGGTTGTGGTGTTGACAGGCTTCAATGTGCCACAGCACACGCAGGAGAGTGTGTCCTGAATAGTTTTCAGATCGAATGTCCAGTGACGGGAACAGAAACAAGGTCCTGGCTCACGGTTAAACAGGGACCAGTGAAAGGTTCGCTCCGTCAGGCCTTATCTTTATTAGCTTTCACAGACGTCTCCATCAGTTTACACTGGACGCCGCCTCTCCACTTTCATGGCTAAGAGAGCGGCCACGCTTGTGTTTACAGGCCTCCGTCCCTCAGTGTCCAACCCTGAGGAGCGAACGCTGCTGAGGCTTCAGGAGCAGGGAGAGGAAGAGCAACAGGTTTTACACTGACAGGCGTTCAGGTAGTTTTATTTTTGTCTTGTTTCCTACTAAGATTGGTTGTTAAGATAATAGAGAACACTATAAAGTTTTAGTAGAGTGATGAGATCTTACAGTAGCTGGAACAGGATCTGAAAGACGGATTATAGCTGGAGTATGAAATATGTCTGTCTGAAGAGCTGCAGTGCTTTTAATTCATGCAATGAGCATTTTTAATAAAATAAATATGTTTGAAGCTGAAATAATTGAGTTGAGTAGCTCTGAGAGAACAGAGTGTGCACGAGGCAGAGCTGTGTTTTATAAAGCAGTGTGAAAGACAATCTGCAGCAGCTCTGTAGGTGTGAGAGACGAGGGGGGGGGGCACGACCGTCAACACAACGACAAGCATGAATTTATCCTCCACTGACTTTCACCTGGTTTTTTTTCGGTTGTTTTGTCTTTGGCTTTAAAAATCTGCTCCATCTCGTTTACAACTGCTTTTAATTCCTGTCGTGTTTTCATTGTTTAACTAAGATTTCTTCAGTTCAACAGCGAGTCCCAGATCTTCTTCTTCATTCTGTTGCATGTTGACTGCAGCTGTGTGTCTGTGTGCGACTCGCTGGACGAACTGTTTCACGTCTGTACGAGCCGCACGTGTTCACAGGAGACCTTTACTAGTTCATTAATATTAGGGCTGCACGATATGCAACAAAAATCATATTATTTTGGCTGATGTTGCGATTCTATTGGAATCACCGTTTTGTTGAATTTTATTTTCACAGAAAACAAATTCAAAATGATGCTGATGTGATTTTTGTTGATCTTGTACCAAACAATATATATATTGCGATTTCGATTATATTTTGATCAATTGCGGAGCTCTAATTAATATATTGGATTGTACGGAGAAGTTAAATTCACGGAGGATTTTGCGACTTCTTCACGGCTCCAATTTTTTAAGGAAAAAATTCATAGAAAAATGCTGCATTAGTGAGATGTTTGGCCCATTGCATCATGGGAAGCAATAGAGGTTTGTGGATAAGACCCCGAACGACTACATTATCTTTAAAGATACTAAAAATACTGAACCTAAACATTTTTTAAAATGGGAGATCATACTGTATTATTAATGATTTTGTATGGTTTTATTATTGATTATCCAAACAGCTTAAATCTGATTATTGATTTTGTTTATGTGGAATTTATTTTACTGTCCATACTGAATCTATAGTAAACAGTGTGAACTTCATGCTCAGTCGTTAGCTGAAGGTTCAGTTGAACCATTTTGTCATGTTTACATCCAATAATAAGCCTCTCACTTACACAGAGACTCGTGTTAACCTGACCCTCGTCCTGTGGCTCGACTCACCACCAGTTATTTTCCACGTCTGAGCGACTTTGACGCAGTTTCTCAACAAACAGCAGCAACTGATGACGACCACGTCAGTCCACACACCTGATCTGCTGCTCTCTGTCCTGTTGACCATATGGTGACAGAGCCAAGTTAAAAAATATGTATTGGATGGATTTTTATGTTGATGTTTGACAGCTTTATACCTGATTTGCATTAATAAGGCAAAGCTTTTACAGGCACCATGTACAGGGCTTTTTATACACTACAATTCAATACTAGATATTTACATTTACATTTAGAAGCCCATTGAAAATGTGGGAGATAATCGGCTGCAACATCAACCTTTTATCTTTAAATTATATTGACATTAAACAGAAGATATGGAGTATCTATCTGTAGCATGCACAGAATATAAAGTGGAATCATCAGCTGGTTTCATCATCACTGGGCAGGAGGAAAACATGTTCATATACGATGATAAAAATGACAATTATTTAAATTTAAGTGTTGTAAATAAAATATTATTGAGGGTAAATTTTAGATGTGTTTAAATACAGTGTCATGATGAGTTGGAGCTGCAGATCCAGAGAGTGAAGTGGGACTGGAAAGATTATTAAATGGTGTCAGTGATTAATTATTATAAAGTAAAAATAATATAAATAATTCTCACATGCAGGAAAACAAATGTAACTTTTAACAGTCGTCGTTATTACAGTTACATAATTAATAATTTTATCTAATTCTCATTAAAAATTCAAATAAATGTAGATTAATATTGAATTTATACTTAAACTACTCATACAAGGCTGTTCTACACACTTACAGTGGTGTACAGGCTTCATACTGTATGTCTACATCTGATGGCAGTGAGGCAACCAATGGTGCATTTCTATAGGATTCATAACGTATTATTTGCAGTGGCGAGACTGTGTTACATCTGAAAAGTGTCTGAGGAACAGTGGACGTCTCTCTGTGCTGTCACTGCCTCTCACTGATGCGTCTGACAGCTGAGTATTTGTCTAATCCTGCAGAGATGCTGCAGGAGAAGGCTTCAGCTGTGACGGATGAATGTATGAGCCGGGTCCAGACCGGCGTGGAGACAGATCTCCTTCCAGACCAGTCACGGATGGGCCTATCTGCAGCTTCCGCCATTCCCAGCTCCAGTGAGCCTGACCAGGTACAGTTCATACATGAGATCTGTGCACTGCTAAATTATGGAGGAATCACTCTCTATGTAGTTAGAACTTCATTAAATGGAGTGACCGCTGATTACGATTTTTAAATTACAAATAAATCGAATGGATTTTTTTAATGTGACACAAACAGCAGTGGCTCATTAGTGCGTTTACATGCAGATGTGTTTTTCTTGATACCTTATTTCTTAATTTGAGGAAATGGTTAAACGACGTTCGTTCTCCTCCTCAGAACATCGAGAACATCAAGGTCGTCCTTCATGAGAGGGAGCTGTGGAAGAAGTTCCACGAGGCCGGCACAGAGATGATCATTACTAAAGCAGGCAGGTGAGTAAAGCAGCATAACATCTGTCAGTAACACTACAATACAGACCGAAACATGGGAAATCAATCATTTTACTTTAAATGCTAAAACTTCACGTTTTACACGTGTATGTGCATCAATGGCAGGACATCTGACCTTATTAGAAATAACCTTATAATAATGAGTGGTGGGAGAAGTAGCCAGACCTTCTGCAGGAGTAAAAGTAAAACCACAACAGTGTAAAAAAAATTCATCTGTTACAAGTAAAAGACCTGTATCCAACATTTTACTTCACAAAAAGTACAAGAAATAAAATATGGAATCAAAAGTAAAAATACTTGTTATGCACATTGTCTATTATTATAGATTCTAGAGTATTATTGGATTTATTTACAGATAAGGATTATCAAAGCAGAGCTCATTCTGAGTATGAGAAGTAGGATCGGGTTTTTAGAAATTCAAAATGTAACTGCAGTCAGACAAGAGGATGACAGAAAACTAAAAGTAAAGTCATTTCAAATTCCACCTATGTAACTTACTCATTAGGTCATTCACGTCTCTTTTTAACTCTTTACTCGAGTTCAAAGTTGCTCTAAATAACATTAAAAAGAAAGTTTATTTATCTATTTATTTATCAATTAGTTGAACGTAAATGACAAAAACAGATATAAATGGGAATGAGGGGGTATGAGGTCCAGCAACATCATCCCTAAAACAACCCAGGGCAGAGTGTGCAGAGCAAAGCTAGGTACTGCTAACAAAATTTAAAAAAAATAAAGTTTATTAACCATAAAAATTATGATATTGTGGCTTGAATCAGTTTTCCCTCTATGAAAACAGTTCAGATTTATTTTTGCTGACATGAAAAAATTGGAAACTTTTGTCCCGTAACGCATTAAAAGCGGTTCATACTCCACGGGACAGAAATGTAAAGCGTGTGGAAAATTACAGTGAAAGTGATAAAAGGATTTCATTATGCAAAACGAGCATCATACCTCTCTGTGACCATCTGTTTAGACAGCTAATAGTAACATATAGCCGTTATAACTTTCAGGAAGAGACACGACGTTCCTGCAGCGTAATTGAAAACACAAATGACTGCTCGGCTTGTTGGATTTAATGTGACCTGAGGATTAGATAGTGAGGCCTTTGGACATTAACCAGAGAATGAGTACACTCTCAAACCGACCTCCGCCTCTCTTTCCTCATGGGATGTTTTTTTTTTCCAGTAAAAAATGTAAAAGGTCACCACATTTTTTCTTTAATGCTGCATAACTGTGAGGGATGGGCTTTCCCTTGTCCAGCTGATAAAGTGGGCTCTCAATCCTTAAAGCCCTTTGAAGGGCTGTGCAGTGGTGTAGCTGTGCAGCTGTGCTGGGAACCTGTCTGCCTTCACCTCCAGTCAGTCTGAGGCAGAGACGCTGCTGAAGGTCACAAACGCCGGCTTCATCCTTCACAGGCAGCAGCTCCGCAAACCACCTCACTATAAACCATATCAAACCAGACTGAATTATTCAAGTGTGTTATGAATAGTGCATGTGGAGCTACTCAGCTTGTTATCATGCCAGCAGATATTTGGTAATGTTGACATCTGTTATAGCAAAGAGCTCGTTGTAGTAGCCCAGTAAAACACTGTTTAATGCTGCATTAAATCTGAGCGTTTTGTAAGTGATCACAGCTTCCTCTGTACATCTTCATTCTTCAGTCAAATCAAACTCATTTCCACTGATTTTCCAATAATGTGTCAAATATTAATCACTGATCAGAAAATAAATAATAATCTAAACCAGGCTCAGGTTTTCTTCAAGCAGTCTAAAGTAATTACTGATAACTTCATTATTTAATTCTGTCAAATCTATTATAACAGTGACAGTTTTCTCCTGTAATTAGAGTAAAATGATAAATCATTAAACAGAAGCCAAATAAATTATTTATTTAATAGTATTATAAAAGATAAAAATGTACAGCCGTGCTGTGAGGCAGCCATTAGGCACAACGGTACTTTGAACTGAATGCTAATGCTAACTACATACCATAACCACGAGGACAATGAAAACATGTTGATATATAGCTGCTATGTTTAACAAACGTTAGCATGCTAACGGTTGCTAATGACAATGAAAACATGCTGTTGTATCATCGCTATAGTTTTTACCGAAAGTTAGCATGCTAACCTTTGCTAATGATAATGAAAACATGCTGATTTGTAACAGCTATAATGTTTACCGAAAGTTAGCATGCTAACCTTTGCTAATGATAATGAAAACATGCTGATTTGTAACAGCTATAATGTTTACCGAAAGTTAGCATGCTAACTTTTGCTAGTAAGCACTAAACGCAAAGTACAACTGAGGTTGATGGGAATGTCACTAGTTTTGTGATGTTGAACTGAATGCTAACGCTAGCACAACAACTTGCCCACGATGACAATGAGGACGTGCTGATATATAGCTGATATGTAACTGCTATAAAGCTAAGTGCGATTGCATTTAGCTTTAGTTCATCCGTGTCAGGTCCTGTGAGTGGCTCAGACGTTTGTCCGTTAACACCAGTACAGCAGAGCAGCCTCTGACAGCAGATGATGGATCAGTGTCAGGAAGTCTGTTAGTCCACAGTCTGTCTTCTTTATCAGAATATAACCAAAGCTTCAGTTACATGTATCCGCAGATGAGTGTTGGTGACATGTTTAAATGTTTTCTAACCCGCTGCTTCAGCACAATGATTTTACATCAGATGACTAGACACAGATTTACAAATAAGTGGTTTTGCTCTGTTGTTCCTGGACTTTTTATTTGTAATCCCTCATCATAGCTTGGCTCCATTTTTAAGTTTTATGCAGTTTAAGTGTTATTTTTGTTTCTTCTCAGATGGTTTCATGTGGAGGACTTTAGTTGCCTATAGAAGAAAATAAATCTGATGTTTTAGAAGGAAAACAAAAAAAACTCAGAAACCTAGTTGTCCACTTTCCTATCTCATCAATAATCTTGGAACCTTTCTAATGTATTTAACCTCTCAGGGGTCCAAACCCTGACTTAGGGGCCCAAAAGCACAGGGTTATGTTGTAAAAACGAGGACATGTTCCACAAGTTATAATGTACAGCTGTGGCTAACAATGTCAAGGTGTCACATTCAGTGTCCTTGCAGTTAGCCCCTGAACATGACCAATGGAAATGATGGATACAACTACAGTTAAGACCCAGACAACCAGGTAAAAACAACCAGGAAGTTAGAAAGTGATGCAGGTATATCTGCTCTCCTCCTGCAGTAGAAGACTGTGAGTGACTGTGCTGTTCTGTGTGGAACTGAAAGGTCAAAGGTCAGGAGGAAGTGTGAAAACGCAGTAGAGTGATGGCTGTGTGGATCTGCAGGGCTGCTGTGAGAGTGATGCGGTGAATGGACATTTCATATCCACGTCACATTGTTAAGTGTTATCAGTATTATTCTAAACATCACATGATGAACTGACTGTCAGTTAAAACTGCAGACAGTCAGAATTAACTGTGGTTCATGATGTTTTTAGACACGTGTGAGAGCAGCTCAGATCCTGTGGGACGTGTTTTTGAGAACTTTGAGTATTTTGGAAAAAACTGTTTAAAAACAGAAGAAAGAAAGTCCTTAAAAACAAAACAGACTTTCTTCTTGATGATAAATTAGGTGTCTCACACAGTAGACTAAAATAATTAGATATAGTTGAAATCTTTACGACCCAGTAAAATGTAGGTTTTGCAGTATTAAAAAGTTTGCATTTTAGTTTCATTTATGAAATAAAAAATGTGCAGAGGTTTGAACGATATAGCTAATGAACCAAATTAAAGATGATTCTACTTTAAAAATTAAGATCTTTGTAGCAGCATGTCACCAATCTAAAGCCAGAGCTGTGAAGCTGTCACTGTGTTTCCAAACTGTGGAGAAGGACTGACTGTGTGTTCTTAGGGCTGTGTGCTCCACATAATATGTTCATTTCCATGTATTAATTAAAACAAAATGGAATTAACGTGGCATTTAAAAATATATATATTATATACATATATAAATAAAGAAACTACATAAAAAAGAAAAGTTTTGTCACAGCTGACATTGGTGACAGTTCACACTTTACTGCTTGTAGGTTTTCTAGATGTGTAGTTGTCAGAAATAACAAATGTCAAAATCAAGTAAGACTGGTTGTTATTGAAAATGCAAAGTAATATGTTAAATTAATAAAAGCCTAATAACACTTACAATGAAACAGTGTTGGCACTTTTAAAATAAAGTTAAAACTCACGAAAACTGATGACCTCCTTCTTCAACATGTAGTAAAAAAATTAATAAAGTGTTTCCCTGATGTAAAAAGTAAAAGTCTGGGGTCCTCTGCTGTAACATGTGAAGGGGGGGCCAGTGCAGAGGTGGCAGGGGAGGAGATACAGATACAGAACCACCAGGCTGTCACCCAGGGGATCCCACATTTCCCCCAACACTATGAGAGGAGACCAGCTCGGTCCACTCCCATGCAGCACCTAGCTGAGGCTGGAGGACTTGTTATTGTGAGTGTCATTGTCCAGGCGTAATCCTCCCTCTTCAAAGCACCCAGCGCTGCTCTTCCCTCACTCTCTCCCTCTGTATACAGCCCGTCAAGAGCGCAGCGGCCGCTTGATAAGAGGAACCCGGCGCCCACAATAGGCCGAGTCTGCTAGGTTGTAGCGCTTCATCATCCCACCCCCCAAACCCCTCCACCCTCCCCCCTCCAACGCTCCTTTTGATCTCACTGTGGTACTGGAGATTCCCAGAGAGGGAATGGATCACTGCAGGGCCTAAACATGTGGGAATGTTAAGAGAAACAGCTGGCACAGAAACACACACACACACACACACACACACACACACTGACACTGATATCATACACACACTCTCCACCTTCCATTTCTCATGCTCCCCTTAAACTCACTCACTTAGTCACACCACCATATGCGTTTATGTATATGTACATGTATATATATATATTATATTTCTTTCTTGTTGAACTAAATTTAATCTAAATTTCTGACTCATCCAGCAGCTGAACTCGCTCCTGTCCTTCCTTCTAAAATAGAAATCAAACTCTGTTGCAGAGGTTCCCTCAGATGTTCAAATCACAGGAGCTGCAATGTCTCTGATAAAGGTAAAATGTGTATCAACATGGTTGTGCACTGTTAGCACCATAAGCGTTTTGCTGCTACAGAGACGCCCCCACCTACAAATCATATTCTCCAGACATAAAGGAACATGTCTGTTTGGTGCAATGCCAACAAAAATCACCTCATCATCATCATTTTTATATTTTTTTCAGTGAAAATAAAATGTGAAAATGATCATTCTAACTAAAATCACAATTACAACATCTGCCAAAATAATGATTTTTTTTTTTTTTTGCGTTCGGTGCAGCGCTACTTTCACTTTATGTCCAGTTCATCTGAAACCAGCTCCACGGGGTTCAGGTCTGGAGACTATGCTGGTCTTCATCATGTGAAGCCTCCGTCTGGTTCACTAGGTCATTATTTTGCTGTAGGATGAAGCTCCGACCAACTTGTCTGTCTTCTAGCAGTAGAAGTGGAATCTATTTTCATTTTGTTTTTTTGTACCTTGGGCAAACAAGGTATACAGAAATACTAGTGGGATTTTCACAAGAACAATACCAACATCCCTGAGGGTGTTTCCTGGATGCACCTGACTCATTACCTGCCCTGCTGCTAAGCTAACTAGGCTATCATCTGTTCTATTTGCAAACACCAACCAGAAGGGTGGATGATGCTAACAACAAAAACCATCTGAAACATACTGAGAGGAAACATCATGGACTTGACACTGTGCTTGTTTGCGGAGACCTTGTCGTCTTTGCCAGCACCTGTTGTGCAGTTAAATTCTGCATTAAATGCTACAGCTGTCTGTGCTGCTGCAGAGTAGACAACCTGTTTCCTGTTTATACCGCTCTGCGTATGCTCAGTGTACATGAGTGGTCACATATGTATGTTTTTTCAGGTGTTGTTACAACCCCCTGCCAGATTTTTAACCCGTATAGACAACAACCAACTGAGCCAGACCGTTGCAATGAAAAAAGGATTATTTATTTCCCCAAACAATAAGTCTGAATAACCATAATTAACAACACTACAACAGAAAAAAAAAAGAATTAAAGACTGACAGACCAGCCAAAGGAAACAAAAGGAGGGAAGCTGCCAGACCAACCCACAACGGGTCGTAGGATCTATTGTCTTCCCTCTAACCCTAAAACAAAGAACCCAACTTCAACCAAACAGAAATAAAACCACAAAAATAGGACTCCCGGATCCATCAATCAAAACAAAGAAACAGTGCAGAGCAGGGGCTGGCAGATGGAGGAGAGAGAGTCTAAACGGGGATCCACACTGACTTTATAGTTTCTCCCACCAATCAGCCCAGACCTGGTTCACCTGAGTAAAAGAGAAACAGGTAAATCGTGAAACATGTGGCTTATCACCAGCGGGTGGGGCGGAGGTGGGGAGGATGTAACAGGTGTGATTGTCTGGACGGAGATCTTATTTTTTATTTGTCTGTCGGAGAACATTACTGTCTAATATTTTCCCATGTATGTAAACAAATAGCCAACAATGGAAACCAAGTGCAATTTCAAATACCGGCACTTTATGGACTTCTGTACTGTACTGCTTAACACGTAACTCTCAATCAACAGCCTAAACAATAAATTCAAAGTTAAAATAAATAATACATTAACTTAAATCACAGCATTTTAAGCCTGCAGTTTCCGTCACGGCTGGTGCACGTAGCGCACGTAACGAAACACTACTCGAATAATGACGTGAACAACGAGCCACTCCTAGTTTGAACCATATAATATGAGCGTACTGTATGTGACTGTAGAACCAGGATAAGTCAGTATCTCTACAGGAGACTGCAGTGAATCTGTTGTGGTACAGACTCAGTTAAAGGGCGAGCAGCAGCAGAGCCATCCACCAGGTAGTTACAGTCATACTCTTCCAATGCGAGGGCCTCTTGTGTTGACACAGGCCTCCATCCACTGTGTCTCTGTGGTGTGAGTGGAGCAGAGGTCTGTTTTGGATGTTCCTCTGGGATTAACCCATCTCTCAGTGAGGATGATACCGGGACTGATCTCTCCTAATGATTGGATTTGAAGCCTAAGCGAGAGAGATTTAAATTACCTGCCCTCAATCCCCCCCCCCATATCTCTCTCTCTCTTATGTGAGAGAGTATTTACAGTAACATGATCAGATGGTGTCCAGCACTTTGAGCCTTTGAAGACAGGCATCTGAACCAAACAAGAAGTATGGAGATGTTAGGGTGGAGGGGGAGGGGGGCGGTTGATGCGACGCCACCGTTGTGCTCCATTGTTTGAACACGTTGCCATGGGCAACACCCACAGATACACTGCAGGCCCTTTTGACCGTGGGCTCTTGAGCAGCGACAAGACTAAACTGTTGTTCAATCCGGGGCGCCATTAAAAACCACTTAGGGCTTTATAAGGAGGCGCAGACTCACCCGAACCCTTTGTGAGATTTCCTTTAGTGCAGATGGGATGAAAGAGCAGAGGTCAGTTTTACAGCCTCCGCTGCTGTATTGGCATATTCTGTCTTTTTAGTCTCGGCATTTAGAAGATGAAAGATAAGCGCGTGTTCCCGCTCTTTTTATGGGTTTGGTTTTGTACCACAAGTATGAGAGGATTTCAGTCCTCTCCCAGGTTAATGTCTGCAGGGAGACAAATCATTGCCAGGCCAGAAATGTAAAGATTTTGACAGCAAGGACAACATCAAGAAGAGCTTTGGCAGCTGGGTCCTGGTTCTGTAATGTGCTTAGGGAGGTTATCAGGTAAAGGGTATTTCAAGTTTCAGAGAAGCCAGATTCTCACCCTACTCGTGTCTCAGTCCCTTGATCTCTACGGGACCTCGGTCATCCCGCTCCCTTAAGAGCATCAGTAAGAGCTAATCGGATCTCCGTCTGCACTATCCGTGACAATGCTACACGTATCCAAACAACTTTAACAGCCCGCAGGATCCCATCTTAAGAAGATACAAGCAGATGTCTGTTACACGCTAAAAAATGTTGGGTTATTATAATAGAATTTTAATGCTTGGTTTGAACTAGCATTAAGTTAAATATAGTGTCCCAGCACAATGGGTCGCTGATGATGCAGTCTGCCATTTTTATGCAGTTTAGGCTAAAAAGGAAAGTCTAGTATGAGAAACATGAATTTGAAATTAATGTTATACATTTTTATGTATATTGTGTGTATATATTTTATGTATGTACAATTTTATACATTTGGAACATGAAGTTATACATGGCTAATTTGATATTTTTTGGTTTTAGCAATAAAAAAATGGCTGAATCATTTCATAAGAGTTTTAAATTTAATTTTAACATTAATAGCAGAAGTTGACTGAAAAAAAGGAATTTACCCCAGAATTTGGGTTGGTTTTTTATCCCATATTTTGGTAGCTTTAATTCAACAACATAGTCGTTTCTATCAGTTTTTGGGTAAGAGAACATAACCCAAATACCCAAAATAACAATTTGGGTTATTTAACCCAGCTGTTTTAAGAGTAGTAGTAGAAATACAAGCTTAGATCAAATCTTTATTAAAATGTTTCCATCCGCACTAACCACCGTTCGAGAATAAGAACTTATGTACATGAGGCTAATTAATCTAAAAGTCAGTGATAATCATGTGACTCTGTGTTAACATGAAGTGAGTTGTGTGAACAGCTTCTCTGTTCGATCCTTTAACAGGAGGATGTTTCCCAGCTACAAGGTCAAAGTGACCGGGATGAACCCCAAAACCAAGTACATCCTGCTGATCGACATCGTCCCAGCTGATGACCACCGCTACAAGTTCTGTGATAACAAGTGGTGAGTTTGTCTGAGGGTTTGAGAGACTTTTCAATGTATTTCTATTCATCACATCAGCAGCAGCTTTTGGGATATGAACCCTTTTTGTCCTGTTGCTCTAAAGTAATTACTGATAACTTTATTTTTTAATTCTGTCAAATCTGTTTTTGTCCTGTAATCACGTAATGATAAATCATTAAACACAAGCCAAACTATTTAACCCTCTGGGGTCCATTTTGATGATTTTTTTAATGCATTAATTTCTGTCTTTGTGTAGCACCTTTTAAAATGTCCATGGTTTGTCAGTCTGACAAATTATAAACCGCTAGGAAACCAAGATGTGTAAAATATATCACAAGGATTTTATTTTTGTGCCTTTTTCACTAAAATTATAAATCATGGAAAATATTAATAATTTAGACTCTGTGTGATCGTGTGTGAAAGTCACACATCAGCATTTCCAACTGATTTCCTCCGCTTGTCTCTACATGACATATAAAGTTATGTAACTGTAATTAAAACAGTGGCCACAGATGGACTCCAGAGGGTTTTTAAGAGACTTAATTATCTATTTAATAGTATCACAGACCAATAAAGAGGAGGATTACTGCCTGAACAAAGAAGAAAAGTGTGTGTGGTAACAAAGATTATAGCATCTTTAAAACTGTGATAAAACATCCTGTAACAAAACAAACACTGGCTCAGTTCGGCTGCTACAGCCTGGTGGCTAATGTTAGCATTGTTAGCAAACAGTGAATATATATTGTTGTGTAGCTGTGAGGATTCATTACAGTATGTCACAGTCAACACAAGAGCAGAGGTGAACCAGGAGACATGTTTAAGATCCCACTCACTCTCCGGGTGTCTAATGATAAAGTCACTAAAGAAACTGATTTAAGAGAGTCTTGGGAAACAAAGGTATGTTTAATGTGTCATTGTCACTTGACAAGAAGGTTGTAATTGAATAAATACGTTTTTACATCCAAAATATTCACCTTCTACATCTGTTAATGGAAACTACAATAAGGTTGACATAAGGGCATGATTGTGTTTATGGCAAAAGAAACATGGTGTAGGTTTAGTCAGGGTTGGGTAACTACAACACCTGGCAGAGGATGGAGGGAAAGTTACAGTTAGTAACCAGGTGAACATTAATGTCAGGTTTGTGACAGGTAGAAACCTCTGGTAACGCCACCATCCTGACCCTGACACCCTGTAAATAACAGACACACTATTTCCTGTTTCCACTAAACTAAAATCAGAGTAAAAAAATAGAAAACCTTATCAAAAAAAAATGATAAACAAAAATGTCTTCTGTTATTTTGTGCGACTTCCTTGTTGAAAAGTGAATATGAATACAGAACGTGAACGCGTCTGGATTAACCAACCAGGTTCACTGTGTGTCAGCTTGTTGGGAAAATTACATTTATGTTAGGTTGTTTACACTTCAAGTAAGATGTGGCACTAGAGGAGTCATTGTTTCAGTTTATATTGTGTGCAATAGGGACCTGACTGCAGTGGGCCCCCAACAGGTAAATCCCTGAGTCGTAGTTTGTAAACCCCACAGGTCACCAGATAGTCTGAGCGTGACACCGATGTTCTGCTCCTGTCTCCTCTCCATGAGACAGAGGGATGGAGTGTCACATGCTGCTTCAGTCACGTCTCTACTGGGTAAATAATATCGTTTTAAAAAAGATGCACTATAACCATAATTCCCTCTGTTAGCCAAAGATGCACAGGATTTAATTTAATCCCAAAAGAAAGAAAGAAATCATCCTGTGAGGATACAACACACAAAATCATAGTATTTGTTTGAACTCAATTTTAATTTTACTCTTATATAGAGTCAAAGAGAAAAAACGGTTGGATTACATTGGACTGGTTCTGCAGCTGAACCTGTATTTGGAGGTGAAGACACTGCGGTACGACAGAAGAGCTCAAACCACTTTCTATTCATGGCTGGGTCAAAAAAATAAAAGAGTTCTGCCAGGAAAAGCTGAGAAGTTCTCAGAGTCTGCAGCAGAGAGGAGATTTTACAGCCACTTGTTTCTGGTCTTGTGGCGTGGCCTGCAGTCGCTGGGTTCTGGTGTTCCTCAGCAACACCTTGGAGAAGTGTAATTAGTAAGGATGTTTTAGCAGAGGCCACGCCTCCCAGTCTGAGGGATTTAATACTGCGAGGGCTTGAGAGCAGTGGCGCTCTAATCCTGTAAAGGAGACCCTGAAACACTGAATGCCACTGGCTCTTTAAAGCAGCTACATATAAACATAAATCCACATGATTTCCTTATTCCTTCCTCCCTCTCGGTTTGCTGCACGTCTCTCTCTCTGTTTTCAGGATGGTGGCGGGGAAGGCCGAGCCAGCCATGCCAGGCAGACTCTATGTGCACCCAGACTCTCCCGCCACAGGAGCTCACTGGATGAGGCAACTCATATCGTTTCAGAAACTCAAGCTAACAAACAATCACCTGGACCCTTTTGGGCATGTGAGTACCTACACAGACCCTGGACTTCCTGTTCTGTCGTCATTCCAATAAACATTTTACTAGTCAGTGTACTTCGCGGCTAACAAAGGTTAATTTTGAAATGAGAAAACCAAAATCGAGAAACAGCTTGTTTCTCAATTACAATTTAGGGAAAGAAAAAGAAGAAAAACTACCGGTTTCCAGTTTTTTGTTTTCATGATAAAAAAACTAAAACTGACAAAACTATATTACCGCAACACGCTGTATTTATTCTGAGTTCTTCATCAAAACCCACATATTCCTGCAAAGACATTTTTTTAAGGTCCGCCTCCAAATCATGATTCAAAATCACTGCAAATAATGTGCCTGACTTCCTGGTATGCGACATACATAAGCGGCATACTATTTACAACTTCCGGGTCACACCAAAAAACATAAACGCATAACTGAGAAAGATGATTTCACAAAGTTATTTCAATTCCTGATTTCCATTTATACTCAACGACAAACATATAACGGTTGGTTTTGTCATTTTCTGTTTTTTAATATCAAAAATAAAAAAAAAAACAGGAAATGGGTCGTAATCGGGAAAGGAGCTGATTCCTGATTTTGGTTTTCTTATTTCAAAACTAAAATTCACTGGCTGCCAAGTACACAGAATGAATATGAAAATCAATCACCTGTCTGACTCAAGCTCGTCTCAGTGGACCTGTTGAGACAGTGCTGACAACTGTTGTCATGTTAAAGACTTAAGCCGTTAAATCAGTGAATAAAATGTGAACCAATTGGAATGATTGATTATTACAATCAGAATACTTTATTGATCCCCAGGGGGAAATGAGGTTACAATACAGTTGCTCCCTCAAAAGCAGAAATGTAACAGCAAAGAATAGAGAATAGGAAGTATGATTATAAAGGTAAAAACATAAAATATAAACATAAAATATAAAAATATGTCCTTACATTATAAAAAATAGAAATATGTAAAGAAATATACAAGGATATGTGTCACTACTATTGATAGGTGATTACAATACGTTAGAATATACAACATGAATATAAATGGAACAATTTATGGAGCAATTGCACAGTTTAAAAATGCACTTGTCTGAAACAACAGTACAATAATTGCACTTGGTACTGAACAGAGAAAAGAGGTATAGAAGTTTTGCGCTTGTTATATCTCTCCAATACATCTGGTGAAATTTGAGAGAAATGTCTTAATTTCTGTGTGAAGTGTTGAGTAATGGCTAAAAAGTGTTTTCTGAGGTCACCGTAACTTTGACCTTTGACCTTTCAACACTAATATCTAATCAGTTTGTCCTTCAGTCCAGGTGAACATTTATGCCAAATATGAAGAAGTTCAATTTCAATCAGAAGTTCAGTCAAGGTGTTTTGAGATATCGTGTCCACGAGAATGGGACGGACAGTCGGACAGAAAACCCAAAAACAAAATGGCTCCTGCTCTGACTGGTGCGGAGGAATAAAAAAAATTAATCAAAGTGTGCAAATCATGAGTGAATTGGTGAAGATCTAACTTATATTATAAAGTTTAAAGTTCATAAACCAGTCTTAATCAATACATAATACATACATAATCAAGTTTCTACAGGTGAAATCTCTTTTGTATTGCAGAGTAAAGAAATTATTTTAACTTTTCCTCCAACACTAAAATAAGTACATATCTCTAAAACACACAGATAATGTTAATGATAAATATAAATATATAAATAAGGGAAACATCATAAAGCTGATTTTCCACAGGCAGATTTCAGCAAGAAGGAGGGAAGAAAGTGAAGGACTGCATGGTAGAGAATGGAGGGAAAAGAGAGAGAGAGGAGGCAGAGGGAGGTGAAGAGTGTGACTGTGGCAGCGCTCCCCAGGGGAACTCTGGGATAACTTGTCTGAAGCCATCCCATCAATGGGCGGGCTCATTAGGTTCATAACCTCTCAGATCAGTGGCGGGGCCTGCTGTCAGCTTGAGTTGAGTGCCTGGCCAGTGATAAGGGCTCGTAATGAGAACAGAGCGAGTTAGAGGCCAAGCAGAGCCCAGATGACGCCCAGACCAGGAGGTGTGTGCAGGGGCAGAGCTTCTCAAAGGAGGGTGAAGGGACTCCCATTCAGCACTAATTATGTTCATCACAGACTACGTATAAATGACTAATTTAACCACAGTTCTCACTCTGCTTCTTTGCCATGTAGGTAGAGTTCATTACAGGTGAATTTTCCCAGATTTAAAACTGCTGTTATGATGTCTTTTTATATGCAGGTATGTGGGTTAATGAGTCTGTTCAGGGGTTGACATCATGTAAATGGGTTAGACTCTAGAATCAGTCTCAAACAACTGTTCCTCTCTGTGTTGCATCAATCATATGTTCACAATCAGCAATACAAACTATCTGCTGTTTACTGATGGAAAACAGATGTTAGTAACCTGGAATAGACTTTCTACTGTTAGCCAAGATGCTCTGAGCTGCATTGTTTCACACACAAGAGTCACTGGTATTGATCATTAACAAGGGCTGCACAATTAATCAAAATATAATGGAAAGTTGCAATAATCTCACTATAAGACTGCACCAAAACCTCATGGGAGAAAACTCCAGTAGCCAAACGTACACTTAAACCAAAATGCAAATATAGAGACAAAATGACCAGAAAAATACTCTCCCCCCAAAAGAAAAAACACTTTACTCGTGTATGATAGACATATCAAAGCACCAATTGCCTACATACTAATTGGCAAACCCCCATTGCCACAGGAGATGGCACGAACCAAACCAGGTCAAATTAGCACAAAGTCTAAGTTTCATCTTACCAAACTACTTTATCCCCTCGATTTGTCACAGTCCGGCTCAAGCCTGGAAAAAGGAGGGAAGATCACACACGAGTGATGACTAACAATAAGTTTATTTGCAAAACTAAAAAGCTAATCAATCTAAAGACAAACAGCTCAGCTCAGTATCTGAAAGAATGGCATCCATAATCGAATAATATAATTGAAATAGCAAAAAGACCGAGTGCAACATCCAAATCGCAGGAGCAGCAATTTTTTGATAAAAGTAAAATGTGTCTCAACATTGTTGTGCATTGTTAGCACCATAGGCGTTGTGGTGCTACAAATCATATTCTCCAGATGTAAAGGAATGTGATTGTTTGGCATTTTTTATTTTTTTCAGTATAAATGAAATACAATATCTTCCAAAATAATTAAAATATAATTTTCTTTGCTTATCATGCAGCCCTAACAGGAAGTAAGGGTGAGGAGGTGAGGGTGGGTGTGTAGCACATTTGACTTTCATGCAGGAGATTGGAATTAGCATCTTACAGTCAACCAGTCTTAACCTAACCATAACTAAGAGTCTTACTTACCTTAACCACAGCTATTCTCCATAACTACAACCACTCCATGACTTTAACCATACAGCACAGAGAGGACTGGGAATAATCTGTAATACTGACTGGTCTGCTCATTATGTGCTATGGTAATAAAATAATACTTATCGTCCTTTCAAGACGTACACATCAGTCAGAGCAAATAATCCTGTCTGAATGTTCTTATATCGAGGCAGATGAAAGCAGATGCCTTCTTTAGGTCGTCGGTGATCTGAGGAAGGCTTCCCTGATCACTGCGCTAAGACAGTCACCCAGGAGTCTCCAGTATCACCCTCAGACAGCAGCCAGACAGCAGAGCACACAAAGGTCAACACAGAGCCCGTGGTGAACCGACCAATGGCTTATCTCTGTCTCCAGCTCTGCCTCAGCAACAGGAGCACGTGAGCGCGGGGCCGTTCAACCTGAGCCTAGCTCCCCGTGCCCTCCTCAACCTTTGCCTCTCGTTGGGAGCCCCCTGGAGGAGGAGGCTCCTCAAGAGAGTGTCTGGCAAATGAGGAGGGGAGCCGAGGTGCAGGGCTTGACGTTTATCGACCCTGACAGAGCTGGACTAGTGATGACCCCGCCGTACTGTTGCTAACGCTTCACTGGGCACAGCGCTGGGCTGCGGTGAGCGGACTGATGGTAGCGAGCCGACCTGCAGCCACCCAAACAACCGAAACACTGAGCGCGCTCAACACATGCTACCTGCTACACTGATACACAACTCATCAAGTGAGGCGGAGATGAAAGATGAGGAGAAACACTTCACTGAGCTAATTGATACTAACGAGTTTGCACTTGAAAGGCTCAATGTCAACATGGATTTCAGCAGAGAATGGATGGTGACAGGCTGACAGCATTACAACAGATCATTCACCTTATCAAGCAACTACTTGTTTAACAATAATATCCCAAAAAAAGAGGCATAAACACACTCATTAAACGCTCATTACACATTTTATGATGTGATTTAGTCTCAGACTGGTTCAGAGTTCAGAGTGTGGTTCACTGGAAATTTAGCTGTCTATAAAATTCCCACAATACACTATAAAAAGACTGAGCATGAGGGAGTTATATACAGTTTATGGCATTTCTGAGTTATGGTTCTACAACACACACAGTTGAATTAGTTTAGGGTAAAAGTAGCAGTGTTTACTACAATTATCCTAAAATATGGTCACTTTAATGTAAAGAGCAGAACCTGTATTTATAAAACGTCTAAGAAAAACACTTAAAGTCTATAAAGTGTCAACTTTGGAGTAAACAAGTTTTTGGTTGATTGTGAGCAATAACACACATTTATCCAGCTACTTAGCCCCAATTACACTGAAGTGTAATATTAGCCTTTAAGAGCAACTCTCAGATGATCACATGATTGATCATATGTGAGCTCAAAGGAGTAACTTCTTCAAGAGATATGGATTGACCCTACATCTGCCATTGTAGATCCTTTTATCATTAAAATTATACATATTTATAATTGTTTTAAAAAGTTGAATAGATGAAAAACAGTATAATACTTGTTTAATGGAAAAATAGGGATGAAATAATTGTAAAGTGGCTGAAATAAAAACAGAATTCTGCTGTTTGTCAGAGACAGACTTAAACAGTGACCCTGCCAGGTTTATTCTTGTTGCTTGCAGCCATGATAAATTCCAAAAAGAAGGTGATGTGACATTCTCTCAAATGTTCAAATACAAATACTCCACTAAATCTATTCTAATCTTAATTACACTGCATCAGCTAATGTATTATTGTTATTCTGATCAGATGGTGAACAGATGTGCTCGGCTCTGTCTCTGTACTGCAGCTGTCTAGGATCTACTGTTAACCAATGTAAGAGGCTTCTGGAGCTCTTTTAAATTCAAGAGCATTTTTAAGTCAAGCTTGATAAATAGTTTTTATTCGTTGTGAGAAGGAGTGAAAGTGAAGGAAGCAGCCATGCCAGAGGAGCTGGAATTGTTTTCACCTTGTGAGTCCGTGGTCTCTAGTTACTTTTACCTTTCAGTTAAATCCAGAATTTTACTATTAAAATACTACTACTACATCAAAACTGTTTGGATGGAGGTTAAACAGGTTGATGGGCATCGTTTTGCACACATTTTGTTTCATTTTCTGTTAGTACAAATGGAAAACAAAACTAAATTAATTTCATGTACATTAACTGCAAAAACACCGTGAAACTACTGTGAAGTAGGAGAAACTTGGATGTAGTTAAGGTCAGTTGTGAAGAGTCAACAGACCTCCCACCGCACCAGAGACACAGCTGCAACTAATAGAAGTAATTATGGGTATATGTAGGTGTTCCAGTTATCCAGCATTGACAAGAATGTGGTCTATTGTCACTGCTTGCTCATTAGCTAACTATGGGCAATGGGTAAGATTAACTTTTATCCACTATTAGTTTTACTAGCAGCAGCTGTGTTTTCCATTGAGTAGCTCCTCTGAGAAAAGGAGAAAGTGTTGTTATAGTGCAGCTCAGTTTTCATGACTTCTTACACGACACAGCCCGTTACCTCTTGGAGGTTTGTCGTTCATGTGACATCGTCATCATGACACTGGAAGATCCACTGATTCAACACATGTAAAAGTAAAGTCACTGATATTTTTAGCTGGTGTTACCTCAACACTGTCACCACGCCTCCATCCTTTCTCATACTGACTTCACTCATTATCACGAGGTGCTTTTAAATGACATCCCAGGTCATTAACTCATATCAGAGGCTCAATGTTCATTGCAGATAACTGTTATAATCTTTCAAATGTGGATACAAGGATCAAAATTGGTATGTTTATTCCTTTTGAGGCTATTCATTTGAAAAATCCCCTTTAAATCTCAAAAGGCCGCCATTTTCCTAGATGTCCGCCATTTCCAGCATAGGAAACCCCACAAAGTTTTACCCAATGGACAGATTTCAATGATTTTGTGATTGAATCCTATGTTTTTTACTATAAAGATGTCAAACCCACAGTTCTTAATGTCAATTAAATATAATTTTAAATAATTAAAATCCATATGATTGTTCTATTTCAGCAGGACTTTTACTTTGTGAAAATGTATCACAATCAGAATACTTTATTGATCCCAGGGGGAAATGACGTTAGCTTACTGTTGCTCCCTCAGAAAAGAAAATAGGATAATAAGTAGACTACAAAGGTAAAGATAAAATATAATCATAAAATATAAAAAAACATGTACTTATACTATAATATATAAATAAGACAAGGCTTTGAGTTTAAAATGAAGGTGCCAGAATTGCACAGTTCGCATAATTTAATTAAGTATAAATAAATAAATTGCTGACTGGGGGTGAGATAAGTCTAAGGGCCAGTCTATCGTAATGTATGTGGGTAAACTGTAAAAGTTTCATTTTCAATGTGCTAAATTTCACTTTCTACGTTGTTAAAATATATGATTTGACACCTGGATCATTCATATGGGAAATTGTGGGAGATTTTATTGTAAAAATAAAAAAGAAAGACATTTCCTTGCCAGAAATGTCAGCCATCTTGGAACTGGTGTTTGTTTACCCGATGAACCCCACCACAGTGGCTGAGTGTTGCTGCTACAGTAAGTCTGAACTGAAATGTGTCTCCTCTCTCCTCCACAGATCATCCTGAACTCTATGCACAAGTACCAGCCCAGACTACACATAGTGAAAGCCGACGAGAACAATGCCTTTGGATCCAAGAACACCGCCTACTGCACTCACGTATTTCATGAGACGGCCTTCATCTCCGTCACCTCTTATCAAAACCACAAGGTACGGCAGCAATCAGCAACACATGAAGTTAATGCAAAATTCATAGTTTTAAAAATAGAAAAGTACCTTGTTACACTTGTTGTTGGCGTTTAAAAGGTATTCAGTCTTTCTAGGTGCAGATTGATGAAACTGAAATGAAGTAAAGAGGGTAAGAGTTCCCCACCCTAAGGTTGCAAACAGCCAGTGTCCCTTTAGTTTAGTTAATTTGTGCATTGTTCATTTCAACCAGTCATTAAAAACATACTACATAAAGCAATACAACATCAAATAAATAAAAAGCATGTAGAGTAGAGAAGAAAAAATATCTATAATAACAATAATTTATAATAATATTAAAGCAAGACAGAAGTTTGAACACTTTAAATGTGTTAGACACAAAAAATTCTATTAGATAAAAGTTGACTTCAAAGTTGTGCTAATTGCTATGCTATGGTTTTGGTTTGTATTATTGAGAATGAGAGCTTTAATGAAATGTTATTTTCTATAGATCACTCAGCTGAAAATAGAAAACAACCCATTTGCCAAAGGATTCCGAGGCAGTGAAGAAGGAGATCTGCGTGTTTCAAGACTACAGGGGTAGGTTTACACCAAACCGGACCCAGGAGAGTAGAACTGATATCTACATAGTGCAGCAGATGAGTTTGTATATGAAGGTTATTGTGCATTTTTTGACTAAACCATGAAACTCTCTCCAGTGTTGCTGTAAGCCAGGAAGAAACCTGGAGTTATGAGTGTGGTCCAGACCAAACTAGGATGTTAGCCTCTGATTAGAATGATCGCTAATGTGCTAGCTAGTCATGTAATTCCATAGAACACACAACAGAAGAAGCTATAGCTACCTTAACACTTGGAAACGGTGGGGTCTGGAGTCCCCCTGGCAAAATTGATGCTCTAGGCAAAATCATGTTACATCGCCATAGCAGCAAATAAGCATCTTAATTAGAACCAATATTGCAATTTTGGCAAAGATATACATGATTATAAAGGAGGAATGGGCCAAAAACTGGAAAAATGCAATGACCTATCAAGGTTAACAGAGGTCATATTCAAATTGCCTCCACGTCTGAAATGAGTATGTAGATTATATGCTGAAACTCTGCAGCTCTGCAGAAGTTATGTCTTGATATAACAATCTACGTTGTCTCCTTGAAAAACGAGACAAACTGATTCTGTTTCTTTTCTGATGATACTACTGACTTTATAGGAAAGAATATCCAGTGATTTCAAAGAACATGGTCCGCCAGAGGCTCCTCTCCTCTCACAACCACCTCGCAGGGAAGCTTGGGGCAGGAGTTCTAACAGGGCACCCTCAAGTCCTGTCCTCCTATCAGTACGAGACCGGGGTTCCTTTGTCCAACTCAGACCCCCAAGATCCCATCTCAAACCACTTCCCTCAGAGCAGAGACCCCAGCCTTCTGTACCACTGCTTCAAACACAGAGGTATGTTCTCAGCCGTCGTTCAGTCCAATAACGGTTCCTCTACTTTAAAGCCACTGCAGTTAACTCTGTCACATTGCAGATAACGCCCGACACTTGGAGCTGGGATGTAAGCGGCCATACCTGGAGACCTCATCTGCAGGCTCAGAGGAGCATTACTTCCGCTCAGCTCCTTCTTATGAGTCGTCCCTACTGTCTCACCCATACTGCACAGAGGCCATCACCTCCAGAGAGGCCTGTATGTATGGTAGCATGGAGACAGAGTCTGGATCCGGGGCAGGGGACGCAGACGACCTGGCCAACTCCCCATCCATAAATTGTAATATGTGGGCTACGATGCAGCCGTACCCTCGCTACAGCGTGGAGGGCGTCCCATACCAGCCCTTCACCGCTCATTTCACCAACGCTGCCGCGGTCACACCTGTGGTCCCACACCCCACGTCCTCCATGGTCTCGAGGTCACAGGCCGACTTGGGTGTCTACAACTCTGCGTCAGTCCAGCGCGGCCTTCCCGTCATAGCTCCATCCTCCTCCTCTTCATCGTGTTCTCCAGCTGGATCCAGAGATAGGTCAGGCCATCCATCTCTGTACCACAAGAAGCCCGGGTCGCCGCTCCGGCCTCACAGAGATTTCTCAGCCTATCCCACACAAGGTGCTATATCCATCCGGGATCCGTCCTATCAGTACCAAGTGGGGCTGAGCAGCGCTGGGACTCACTGGACTGACAGCTAATGGAGAAACCAGATTGGTCCAATGTACAAGTCTGAAACGAATCAAGGTTTCTGCTCCACTGCAGGCTGCCAACGGTAACGAACTACAGTCATAATCAAGGCCAAATTGCACTGTGTCTGGTGAACAGTGAGCTCCTCCTGTATGTGTAGAATATATACTAAAAGCCTGTGATCAGATACAGTACCGTGGTTTGTCAGAGGGAGCATTCAGCTTGTAACAGGACCTTTCCCAAAAGTGTTAGGTCGCTAACCTGTAGCAACAACGAGGATAAACCTTTTAACATAAAATGAAAAAGAGATAAGGGAAAATCAGATGCTGTTCTTTCTCCAGAGGGTCATACTTTACATTTTAGATACATGACAGGCTTCCAAAGAAAACAGACTTATCTCTTTGTACAGAGCTACAGCTACATAGAACAAGTTCAAAGCATGAGGCTGGTACATTCTGTATTTTTCTTGTCAACAAATCCCATGAAAAGACCAGAACAACAATCTTTCAGTCCATCTTTCAACACTTTGTGACAGTGGTTCCTACTGTAGATGAAATAAATACTGTACATACAGTCGTTCCATTCAAAAGAGAAAAAGATTCACTCTGTTCCTCAAACAGCTGGGAACTGTAGTTCATAGTAGGGCTGCTCGATTATGGCAAAAACCATAATCACGATTATTTTTGATCAATATTGAAATCACGATTACTCATTGACTTTTGGAAGACCACGCATTTATTGAACTTACTAAATAAATAATAAAAAGTAAAAATAAAAAACAGATTTTAAAACAAAAAGTGTTGCGTCTTTGTAGTTTTTCCGCTTATACATGATATAAGTTAAAGATACACTGCTATCCTACACCGAAACGTAACCAGGAAGTGGATGCGGGGATGGTTTTTGTAAGGGAGATGAAATTTGTTACAAAACAGAATGCGACACAATAATCGTTTTATCTCTATTTTCTTGTTTTCATAATCGTTGGAAGACAAAATCATAAATAAAAATAAAGTTGTATTAATCACTCAGCCCTAGTTTGTAGGAAATGTTACTGAATTAAACTGTGTATTTGTTGGGGACTATTTTCAGTTGATTAATGAAGCAAAACAGACAATCTGAGGATGGTAATTCACTAATGTAGCAACATGGATCAAACGCACCCTTTTGATTATGGCAGCTTACTTCAGGTGTCTGCTCCCACAACACTCACATGAACACTGTCACTTTATGCTACTGCTAATAAAGCTTTTCAAAAGCCCCACCTCCACCTGTAAGCTCTAAGTCTACACTCCCCTCAGGAGCAAATTATTACCACTTCCTACTTCCTGTAATACAGAGCTTGCTGATTTATTGATAGGTCAGAGCCTCAACCCATATCAACACTTTATATATCTACATTAGCATAATTATCAATTCATATAAGGAGGATATGAAGGATCAATTAATTGTTGGTTTGGGTCTTTTCATTGGATTTGTTGACAAAAACAAAAATACAGAATCAACTGTGAGGGGAGCCAAGGTCCTTTGAATCCTCAATCACATATGCCAAAATAAGATTAACTACTCCATGATGTTTAAGGTAAAAGTGCATTGAGTTCACTGCAAAGTGAGTTTGATGATATCAGAATATAACAGAGAGAAACTTCAGTTCATCATGAACACACTGAGAATTGAATGTGTGAGCTATGTAAGGCAGTCTTTTCCCAAAGTGAAAGTTGCAGCACAAAACCACCCATCATGAGAGCTGTCAGTGTACAGGTCTTGTCCCATGCTAGTTGCATGTTGCTAGTGCTCATGTTATGAGTGAAAGACTGAGCCTTTCTGCTGTGGCTGGTTGTCAGACCTTGGCTCCGAACTCACGACTCCAAACAATATTCTAGTTAAAAAGGACAGCAAAGAACTCTCAGGCAGAACCAGATGGGAGCTTAAAGAACTGCTGTTAAGCCATGGTGAGTACCGGAAAAGAGAGCTGCACACAAATCCCACTCCCAAATGACTTAGTTGGAAAAAATTCTTAAGACTGCAAATACAAAACAGCCTGAGCAGGCAGGGAAGCTGAGAAAAGAGGCTCTCAGTGGCTTCACATACAGTTTCAAGTTGCATTGACAAGGAGTAATTATCTGTAGGATATGTTGGTGATCCCTCATGTATTTGCGCATTGTTCCTTTATTTCGTGTTATTAAATTCAATATAACGTTTTTGAATATATTGACATTTTTGCACACCTGATAAATAAACATTTTCATGTCTAACTAATTGTTTGCTATATTCAATCCAAGACCAGCATGGTACCACTGAACTACAATACACTAAAGTTTAAGAAACTACCGTTTCTTGATACCTGAGGTTTTGCATATTACAGCATTTTCAAATTAAAACCAGTCTTTGGCAGCTTCATTACCGTTACATCATGTGTGAACTGTTCAGAAATCTTCCACTGCAGTAAAGAACAAGCAATGTGCTGTTTTTACAGCTCAGTATCCCTGGGAATTATGATTCTGCTCAGTATTTACATCCAGTGCTAATGTTAAATGTCAGTGCAGAAGGTGGGATGAGGTTTATGAGTCGCATCCTTTCACAATTCACTTTCCCAACCACGATCTTTCTCTAACCTTAACCTTATTGTGATATGAGATTATTGAAGGGTTTTTGAACAGCAAATCAAAGTCATGTGTTAATTTTTTTTCAGAAGAAATAGGCTATATATGAAAACATATATACAAGCTACATATAAAATATCTAAAAAATCAAATATATAAAATAAATGTAGTTTTTTCAACTGGGGGGAATATCACACTATTCAATATTATCAAAGATTAGCCCAAACCTAAGCCATAATCTGTGCCTAACCTTAGCCATACATACCTGCTGTATGTGTAGATATTGTAGAAAATGAGAATTTGAAAAACCATTTCATTTGTGGATTAGCTGGGAGTTAGGGGGCAGAGTCAGACACTGCCAAGATGACGACGGTAGAGCAGCTCACTCTGAGCTTCAGAAAACTGGGTGACGTCAAAGAGGCAACATCCATCCTTATTTACAGTCTATGTTTTTTGTTTTTAAATAGTAAAAATAAATATATACATCTAATAAATACCCCACTCTCTCCAGTGTTCTGTCAACAAATCACAGATCGTTCCTTTTAACATAACTTTTGGGTTTTAACGTGAAATGAAATCTAATGTTCTGCATCGAGATCAAATAAGATTCAGCTTATTACAGACTAGATGAAAGCTTCGTTAGGAGTACAGTCATGGAAACAATAACCTGAAGATCTATGGAGACAGAGAACAAATCTTCAAACAACCTCAGTGCCATTTCTCAGACGCCACGCTCTCCATTGCTGCACTCGTTTCTGGTTTGTATGACATGTGATTTATAAATTATAAAAACCACTACACGGTGCTGTCTGATAGAATCCAAAAGAAGCACTTAACAGCAGAGCATCCACTTGAGAACAAATCAGTAAACACTGAAATTAAAAGTCAAGGTGAGGCAAATTTTTTGAGAGGAATGTGGAGACAGCGGGACGAGCACATCGGCAACACGGGGCACCGCTTCCTCTCGCACAGCGCTCTTATTAGATCATGAGTTATGCTGATGGCTCGGTCCTGGTTCATGTCAGCACCTCTTTCTCTATCTCTGTCTCAGCTGTTGATGCAGTTCAAGGGAGGCTCTTCGTGGAGAGCTACCACTCAAATCAACAAATCATCAGGCAGCTATCTTGAAATGCTGAGCTATAACTTGCCTGATAATAGCGATCAGACATTCATTTAGCTGTCAGGGCACGGTTTCGCTCGGCGACGTTATTCTCTGACCTGATTTGCTGAAAGGGCCAAAGCAGCTACAAATCTCCCTCAACTACAAATCATGAACACTCTTCCTTTGCTGAGCATTTTCAAATAAACGCTGCACAGTTTTTGATGTTCACTGCAGTCACATGGCAGAAAAACCCATCGTCAAGCCTCTTGAAACCCGTCCAGGTTGTGTAATCCATCGCAGTAAACATCGAGTCTGCGTTCGCTTTTGTCAGATTTATTGTTAAATTTCAAGATAATACATTCACAGAAACAAATGGATACCAGTGGCTGCCTGGAATACCAGACAGAGTTCATCCAAGAATCTAAAACACACAAACTGGTTAGCTGTAACAGAAAACTATGTGATTTGCAGTAAATAGGATAAAACGTGCAAAAAACCACTGGTATGGAAACCCCTGTCTGCTGGAAATTATGTTCATATACTGCTAAGACAGCGAGGGGAAATATAACTTCTGCCTGGATTATCTTCACTCGCATTTTTTCTACGTTGACTCTCATACCGCACATAAGTCAAAGGGAGATGGTCAGGGTGGATGGTGCGTGTACAAAGTGCAGGAATTTAATACCGGAGACCGGGGTTCGCATCCCGAGTCTCGCATGTGGGTCGGTGCAGGAACAAGAATGCTCTGGTGAGGGAAGGACTGTGGTTTTGGTTAAATGTTAATAAGTGATACACATCCTGTGTCTCACGCTGCAAATGTTTTTTTTATGTTAATTTAAGTGGAATTATATTTCTCTTACAGTGTGTTTGCTGTAGCATATTTGCGGTATATAAACATAAATTCTAGGGCATGGATCACTCAAATGAAACATTCTGTGTTAATGAATATAACATGACTAACTATGTGTACAATTACAAAATAAACTTAAGGTTCACATAATTCATTTATTTGGACTTTAACAAGCACTGACAACTTCACACAAAGGTCATATTTTAAAAGTAGCTTTTACATATTATAAATATAGTGGGAGCAGAAATAAAATTCATACACAGGCCTGTTTAAGCTTCAGCTTTTACATGGATGACAGAGCACAGGTGGACCAGTCATATCTGTTCAAAACACAAAACAGTTTGTTACTACCTAAAACTGTGATTCCCAACCTGTGGGTCGGGGCCCACTGGTGGGTCGTGAAGGTGTTCAAAGTGGGCTGACAAATCAAGATGTAATTATGAAAAAAAAATATAAATC